TCCAAAGCTAAACAAAAAAAACACAAAAGCAAAATCGCAAAGATCTTCACTTGGTAATAAGGGGAGCGCCTGTGAGATGTATGTGTTGGAGTTGTGTGTATCGGTGCGTCCGTTACTCAATCGTTTGATAGTGATCTTCACAGCAGTTTACCACAACGCACTTCACAGAATTACTCGGCTGTTGACAATATAGCCACAGTTGACCATGTGGGCACAGAGGAGAGGAAAACACAAGCTCCCAGTGGAAGAAAAGTAGCCTCTGGGGGTCCCAGGCCCAATGATTTACCCCTCTGCTGGCCATGAGTCAGTGGTGCATAAATCCTCATAGATCATGAACGAGGTCCTGCAAGGGCAGGGCTTGGGATCCTGCTGTCCTGGGTCTGTCATCACAGGTGTCCGGTGTCTGTGGGCAGGGCTTTCCAGGAAACGGAAACGGCTCCCTCGCTGCCGCGCACTTGCTGTTTCGCCTTTCCTGTATATCCATCCGAAAGATAATTAAAAAGGGACGGTAAGAGCAAAGACAAATAGTGAAAGGAAAGAATGTGTGAGCTTGGCCTGGCCCTTCGATTACCATTACTGACGGCAGTCTTCCAGGACTTATAGACAGTAGGCACCCTTTCTCCGTGAAACGCAATGGAAGATCCCAGTATTTGCACATCTCCTGTGTTCCGTTTTAGTTCTTGTACCTTTCTCTTGACACTGTATCTTATAGTGGTTACTGCAGGCATAGGAGCACCATGACCCCAGGCTATGAGCGCTGATCATTTATGTCCCTTTAATAATATTATTATTGTTTCTCTTCCTCTGAAGCCTAAGGCTATGCTGAGATTGTGTTTTTCCTAAGAGGTCTGTTCATGACTGTAATGTTGTAAAGGTAAATTACAGCACAAGATCTATTTAAAAAACTAAAACCTCAAGGCTCCAACAAGTGCACCAGTTACTGCACACACCAGCTGATAACCATGTCAAATATCGACTTAAATCAAACAGACGTGTCCTCTGGCCCTCGTCTCATTTTTAACTCCAGTGCGTTGAGCGGGAGCAGATATTAACACGAAGTGATTAGTTTTAATTAGAGCAGTAATAGGCTTCACTGGCTGACTTGTCCAACTTTTTCGATAGCATTGCAAAGACCGCCCCTGTCAAACAGGGAAGGAAACGCTTCAGGCTCCACAAGGAAGATGGGGACGAAAGGGCACACATGAAAGTCGAGGATTATCTTGGACTTGAAATGGTTAATTAAAGGAGTGTTAGAGCTGTTTCTGATCTTATGGAGCACAATGTCTCTTTCGTCAGCAGGTGAATTAAAGGGGGGACGTTAGGGACGCCACCCTGTAAGAGCCCAGTGTGGAATTTAGCAGGGCACTGGGGTTAACAGCCCTGCTCTTATGAGCAGTGCTTTGGGATCTTTTCGGGATCAAGTAGTCCTGAGGTCAGTGGTGGAACATGTGGGTCCCCTCCTACATAGGAGAAGTGCTTTCGGAGCTTGTGTCACTGCCACACCGCCGGCCCTCCTCCGGGCCTCCCGCTCGCAAGGTCAGCGCACGGTGATTAAATCAGATGCAAATGTCTTTTCTGGGGGATAGTGAAGCGCTCTGCATGCACAGCCTCAGTGCAAGAACTTATCTGGTTTTCTTTGTTCTTCTGGGTTTTTTATTTTGTCATCTTAGAAAATTCAGTTCATTTATTAGGTCAGCTGCTGTCTTCTTCAGTTCGTGCAGTGACGTCGGTATTGTAATCACACCTTATGAATGAGGTCTGTCTTGGCGGCGGATTCGACACCTTTGGACAGCCGCTGTTGTGCACCCAGAGGTCACCCCTCTTTCCACAGCGCTCAGTGTGCAGGCTGACCAGGAGTGTCGTGGGCCCTTTGGGAATGCTCATGGAATGTGAAGGAGACTTCCGCTCATGGCTGCTCACACAGGCACCCACGATAAGGCCCGGACAGACCATCCACGCTCATCTACCAGTCTCCAGGAGAGGAAAACGCTCCCGGGATCCCTCCGGAGTTAATTTCTTCCCAGCAGTTTTTTTTTTTCCCAGAATAAAGCTTTTTCCCCCAGCCTTTCTTTTCTGTGCTAACTTTGAGCAAGCAGGACCATTCTAGGGGCTTCAGTCAAAACACTCACATTTTGTATCGGAGTACAGCTGAAGTTAATCTGCCCGTTTACTCCCTAGCACTGCGTAGGCTGCATTAGCATTGCAGTTACAGGATGACAGGTGGGGGCTTTGCAGTTATTGATGACTGGTCAAAACTTAAATCCATACTCGCCCCCAGTTAGAACTTCTCCACATCTCAGCCGGTTGTTTAAAAATAGATTAAGTCGTTAAGTAGAATCGGTCTTTTAAAATGTATTACGTTTTACTGAGACTCTTCCTTTGTTTTAACTTCTTGCATTGATTTTCTTTTCCTGTTTGTTCTCTTTATCAGAGTTTGTAGTCTCTTTTTTCCTTCGAGTTTGGAGACTGACATTATAGGGGCTGCGTGCTTGGCAGACAGGTGGAGTTCAGCGATATTGCTGAAAGATTGCATTGTTTAGAGGCTGAACAGATAGCTTGGCTGGGTATTGTGCAGCCTGTCAGCTCTGTGCAGAAGAGATTTGCACTGAAGTAAATGGTGCACAGAGTCCAATCGCTCATTCTGAGAACCGGCATTAAAAAGCTATTAGATGCAGAGCTGTGAGGAAAACCCTTTCAGTCGGGGGATTTAATTTCTTTTCTCATTTCTTTTTGGGTTGCAAGCATAGGCTTTTTAGAAATGTGTGCAAAATGCATCTGCTGTTGGTCTCCTCTTGGTTCCTACAGAGTGTTTATGACTGTTTTAAGATGTCAGTATTCGAGAACTGTTTGTTGATCAGTGCTGCTCCCAAGAGACACAAGTTTTGCTCTAAAAGATTTCTAGATGTCTCCTAAACCTGCAGTCCCAGCTGAACTGTGCAAACCAGAGCAGAAGTAATGCGAGTGTATAGAGCCACACTGGAGTCTCATGTTACTCATGCTGTGACCTGGTAGATATGGCATGTTGTCAAAACTTAGAAATCACTTTACAATTGCTCTTTAGAAAATGCAAAAAGTGAAGGCTGTGAAGACAAAGGGATAAACAGAGGCAGAATTAAGAGTATCTGAGGGTCTTCTTGTGTACCTTATTCTAGCAGAGCAACAATTAACAGGGCTGGACAGTCCCCAGGTTTGATAGCTGACCTCGTTTCTTCATACAGTGGTTTTAAGAATCGGAACTTGAGCCGTCTTAAGTCTGTCTGAGTTTCACTTATATTCTTACTAGTCCCTCTCTCCACTAGGTGGATAAACTCCTTACCAGTTTCCACAACAAAGAAAAGAAAAGTCCAAATCACAGTCCTCAGGTCTGCACCCATCACCTGACCAGGTGCTGGACTGGACTGGTCAAGTAGACCCCAATAGGCTTCTTGTGGGAGTGAAATCCACCATCTTGCCCCACTGCTACTGTAGTACCACACTGTATAGGGTGGGACAAGTGATGTTAACAACAAAACTTCATAATTCCATCTGATTGGTGAACATTACTGAGTAGCTACTGCTACTGAACATTGATTAGCTACTACAGGACTTCATATTGACTGCCTAGGGGAGGGTTTACCTTCAGTCGCTGAAGAATTAACAATTCCTAAATGACAAGCTTTGTCACTTCTTATCAAAAGTAAGCCGTACTAATACATTACATTTTCTATAACCGTAAAAAACCCGAGCGCAGCCTTTGAGAAAATTGTTGATGCTTATCACATGCATATTTTAACTCCCCATTGTCTTTGATGGTTAAGACCTTTGCACAGCACTGAATGATTTTGGGTTCAGCAGAATCTCTTTATTAAATTTTGAAACAAATATTGGCACTTCCCAGCTTTGTTAGCAGTAGTTCTGTAATGTAAAGCTGGACAAATGCAGTGCGCTGGTCTACACAAATAGAAACTTGAATACTTTGCTCGCATGAAGGCACCTGTACTTTAACAGACAGTTAAAGCATTGTCGTGCCAATACTTCATACTTCACTGGCGTGGTTTGATTAACAAATAGAGGGAAAGATCATTTGAAAGTATTTTCGTTTCTGGTTTTGTCCTAAACGCATGCGTGCAATTGTCTTGACTACATCTGAATTATTTATTCATTCCAAGACGTTTGTACCTCTGTGTGTTGTTGAGATGACTAGTTTATACAGCTGCGTATGACGAATTGTACCAACAGATTCTCAAGAGCCATTCATGCCACCTCTTGAAACTATTGCAGTTTCATTGGCACATACAGTGAGGCAGTGTTCTGCCTGTGTGTGTGGGCGTTCTTTCAGTAGATATATTGTTATAGTTAAACACGTGAATTCAGGTGTTGAAAGAGAAGAATTTTCTTGCTCCTAGTTTTTTCTTTTATAGCACTGTTTTGTCAATCAACTGTACATTTCATTCCTTGGTGCATTGCTTTCAGATCAAGGAGAGCATACGTTGTCAGCACCTGTCCTACTCTTTGTCAGTGTTGATAAAGCCTGTTCAGTGGAACACAGTGATCTTGTATCCACAGGGAGGATTAAAAACATTGTATTCAATTTGCGTTCCTTTACATCAAATCTTGTCTCAATACATTTGTAAAACCCAGGTGCAACAGGAAAAACTTCCAAACAAAAGTGTAAGTGGTTTTGGAACTGGAATTCAGTATAGTTGGAGCTCAGGAGGAAATATTTACCTTTGTCAATTGGGCTTCATAATGGAAAATGTTTTTAAGACATTTCATGCATGCTTACAAACATTTGTATGTAAAGAAAAGATGTAAATAATCATTCTACTTCTTTGCAGGTGAAATAGAAAATAAAATTCTCTTTGTGACCTGGAGTGTAGGTCTTGTAAGCCCTGCTGTAGTTTACTTTTACACAGCAAGTTCATTGCTGTTCGTTTCCATGTGAGCAATTTCAGCCGTTATTCCAATTAGTACCGCTGCCATCACCGCTAGCACTAACAGTGTTTGTTGTTTTGTTTCAGGATGTGGTGTGGGGGCTCAACTCCTTGTTCACTGTAAGTACGGGGTTCTGTAATGGGCCATCCTGCATGGGGAGCAGGGAGGGACCACAGGGGGCCGTATTAACACCCTGAGACACAGGACTATTCTCACCGTTTCAGTGCCTTATTAGCAGTCGTCAGAGCTCAAAGGAGCGCGATTGTGTTTCCTGGAAGGGTGCTAGAACGACAGCCACCGATGTGATTGGCACTGAAAACGCAAGAACAGCTCCAAGCGTTCCTTCTGATTAATGACTACACAGTGGGAAGCAATTAAAAACATTCAACCTGGCGGAAAGGAGTACTCACTGTACTTGTGTTTTTAGGCTGGAGTTTAGGTCCTTATTCAAATGCAAATCTGCTTCCCATTGCAACAATTCTCGATTGAAGAGACTTGAGAACTGGACGTTCTTCCACCCTGCAATGTAGGTTAAGAAACGGCACGTTCTGAGTTCACATAAAGCCGTAGTCCAGCTGTAATGTTGTTGTACCATTCTGGGCTGTTCATTATTGCATATACCTCAGTGAGTGGTGAATGATTTCGTGTGCCCGGAGAGGAGTGAGGAAGTGGAGGGTTATTGCACTTCAAAGGGCAGACTGCAGCCGGTCAGAACGCTTAATATACATATCAAGGCCCTGCAGAGTTCAGTCCCACAGGATTCCCTACCAGTGTCTCCCTTGGATGTCTCGCAATTGCAGTTTCCCTGGAAAGAACAGCGTTTACACTGCGCCGCTAATGCGGCCTGCGCTTAGTTGGTGAGAGCACACCATGGCCTGCCGCGAGGTGAGGAGGTCACTCGGATATTCATCTTCCTCATCCGCAGCGAGCCGCTCACTGGCAGGGCGATGTCATCAGCGCGCTCGATGGTGGTTTCCCAGGCCAAATCTCTGATTGACACCATGCTGGCCCACGTATTTTGCCCAATTAGACGGTTTTACACATATGTATCCTGAGCAGGTCCAGATGAGAGAAACCAACCCAGAACTTTATGGGGGTTTGAATAGTTGCCCTAAGATACGGAAGAGGCAGTTATTTTTCTTTTCACTTTAGGCTTAGCAAAGTAAAGGAGGCCAGTCACCCCATCTAGTCCATTTGCTATCCAGTAACGAATTTATCCGATTGAAGTTCTTATCCAGGATTGCAGCTTGAGTAACATGTCTGGGTACACCCATACCCCTTTGTCTAAAGAAGTGCTTCCCATACTTAAATGCTTTCCCCCATTTCCAGTTGAGTTCTCTGGTCTGCGTTTCACTGTTGCTTCTGAAGAAGTCCGCTGGGTTGAATTCTCACTGCCCTTTAGGAGTCTGAAAACTTGTATTTATGTATTGTTCACCTCGCCTCCCTCAAGATGTGTACTGGATCAGTGGTACGCAGCGCCTCACGTAATTGCTTGCAGTTCCTGTGCACACTTTGGCACACGCTCAAAGTGTTCGTTACTGGTTGCATGCAGTCCTGCTACCCTAAAGGTAGGACTCGCATAATTCAACACTGAAAAGCTGGGCTACGTACAATAGCACCACAAAGGGACGGTTTAGAGGAAGAATATTCTGTTACAGAATATTCTGTTAAGAGAAGAAAAGGAATTATCAGCCCACAGTCTTTAAGTATTCATCTATTTACATTTCATCCTTCTCTTGAATAATAAGTGGGTACCGAGCACAAATGATGTATACCACAACCGCTGGTGTCTGAGCCGGTTTCATTGCTGCAGGGCTTACTGGGCTGGGCGAGGGGGGACACCACCACCACATGTGCTCAAACACCGTTGCTGATTGAGTTAATTCATTTCCAATAACTGAGCTTTACGTGGCTTCCAATACACCATGCGTCTCTTCCGCTGAATTACCCCAACATGGCTCCGGGCAGCAGGCAGTGTACGGATTCACAAGAACACATGTCCTTCTGGGCTTCATTGGAAATAATGAAGCTGTAAAAAAAAAAAAACACTGCTGTAAGCGTGTGAGTATAAATGGGCTTTTGTACCAAGTTGCTAATGGAGTGTGGAGATTCTGACAGCTTTTAACATGTGACTTTTTTCCTTTTCTAAAGGATCTACTGAATTTTGATGACCCACTGAACATTGAAGCAGCAGAACACCATCTGCGCGATAAGGTAAAGTCCAGCTGTGAAAAGACCCCTTTAGTATCTACTACACTGAATGTATGTGGTCTTTTTACATTTGACCACATTTTTAGGTTTGTTCCACCTGCTTATTTGGCCAGAGTCTCTGTTGGTTTGCTGTTTTATTCTGTGGTAGTTTCCCAGTCTTCTGCAGTATACAGTGCTTGTAGTGGTCTGTACCACTGCAGGGACAAGGGCAAAGACGGGGAAGTCGTGCCCAGAAGACTGAAGTTATCTAACGCAAAAAGGCCACGGAAACACTCATCTCCAAACCACACAAGCCTGGGTCTAAAACAAGGACGCATTGATTTTTCTTTTTAAAATGGTCCAGAAAAATGTTTGGGATCTTGGGAGAATATTGTTCTGTTATTGTGTCCTTGGCCAGGAAAATCGCATGTTTCGAATGAGTTTTGATAACGTGTGCAGTATCTGGTCTGCCTGACACCTACAGCAGGATGTGGTTGACTGGTGCAGAGATGGTGTCTGGGGAAAGGCAACTCCCTCCTATACAAATGAATGGTCAAATATTCAACTTGGTTTCTGTAGTTGTCCCTCTGGAGTCTTGACTTAGACTCATAACTTCTGCATGCTGCAAATCTTCCAATCTTTTGTTAGCTAAACCTGTGCCAGAATACTGAAATCTTGTGTTTTGATTATTAGTCTTCCTTTGTGTGGATAGGAACCCAATCATGCTGTGGTCTTCATGCCCTGCCATAGGTTTTATATGAGCAAAGAAAGGAAAAGTCGTTGGGATAGACACTTTAAAGAGCCGTCAGATGCCGCTGTTCTCCTCCTCCGTTAACAGGGTCACCTCACACTTCCAAAGAGCGGAATCAGTAGTGAAATTCCAATGCAGGGCTTTCTTAGATTGTTCAAGTCACGCAGAACAAAACTGAATCTGTTGTACGGTGGTAAGATGTTTTTTGTCTTATTTATTATCCACTAAAAGCTGTGTGCAGAATCTTCAAGAATGAAAGACTTTTTTATCAAAGCACCTAGGGGAGGAGACTGTTGAGGCAGATCAATGAAAAATACATTAAAAGAATGAAAATGGGATTCCTAAAAGCGTGTCAACTCAGTGCTTATATCAACATGAAACATTAAAGGCCAGTATTAAACATTAAGGAAAATGCTCTGAGCCCTAGACAGTTCTAGGGCACATACCGAAATGTCTCACCTTTTCTAAAGAAGAGAGCGATCCTTTAGGGCCGTTAATAGGATTGGCATTTCCCTTTTTTCTTTACCTGCACTTAACTGAGCAGAGCTCTGGCATCACTCACGCAAGTTAAAAATACAATTTGAGCTGCAGTTCTTACAAGAGTGTCTTGCTCTGGTTGCTTTGTGCTGTGTATCTGCTTGCATCCAGGGAAGGGGCTCTGAATCGTGAATCCCCAATTACTTAACTCAAAAGCCAACAGTTTATAAAAAAAACTCTTATGCCTTATTCTGCATTGTAAATTAAATCTACAAGTTCCATCTTAACAATACCAGCAGAACCATTTCTTTTGGCCTTTCCCCAGATGTCCCTGTGAAATTCA